TTATTATTATTATTATTATTATGACCTGGTGGATTTAAAAAATATATATTTAAAGATGATATTACATTTTTCAAGATTACATATAAGGGGAATAGGCTCCAGTTTTTATGCCACTGTGTTTAATCTCAAGCCTAGAAAAAAAAAAAGGAAGATAAAAAAAAAAAAAAGCAAACCCTCCCACCAATTAAAAAAAAATATGTATGTTATCGTTGATTATAGTTGTTCTATTTCTGGGCGTGATAAAAAAAAAAAAAAAAAAGCAAGTCAATTAACCCCCAGATTACTCGAGGAAGCAGAGCGAGAGAATTTGCAAGCCTCCATCAGAGGCATGATAGCCTACAGGGGAGATCCTCTCTGCAACTTTATACAACTTGGTCCCTGGCTTCCCCTCCACTTGAATGGCGTGTCGGTTCATTGTTGGGATTGCTACAATGTGAGAATACTAAGTAGGGGTGAAACCGTTCCCACGTGTGAAAATGGGGGAAAATAATCCGACAGGAGGAGAAACAGAAGAGAAAAGAGGAGGATAAGGTCTGTACCCTTCACTCCGACTTTGTTACTGTGAAGCAGCTTTGGGGAGGAAAAAAAAAATACACATAACGCTTCTTCTTACCGTCGTCATATCAATTAAATGATTTTTTTTTATTCCTAAACTGAAAATAAAGGCCTTTGGTTATACAGGAATTCTAAAGGCCGCGACAGACGCCTAATTAAAATCTGCTGAATTAACTCGTTAGTATCTGTGTTCAGACCTGCACCAGTTTATGCACTTTTCTGTCCAAGCGTCAAAAATCGAATTAATGCGTCATTTGCATTTTAAAGTACTCAAAATGAAAAAAACCCTGACAGTCCAACTATCGAATTCTTTGTCATAAAATAACCGCAGCCGCTGATGATGCTTTATTCATGCTGTTTTTTTTTCTTAAACTCTAAAAGTAGATGTGTGTGTGTGATCAGTGTGTCATGAGGGAGACTTTCAGTGGTGACTGAAAATAGTGCTAATATAGGACTAATGAATAACAAGAGCAAAGCGTGGTTTTCTTGTTTGTTTTCCACACTTTTGGGAACGGGAAGGATCTAATGAGGTGAAAGTTAAGTCTGGCATCTGTGGCCCCGTATAATCCCTTTATTATTGTAATTATCTGCGCAGCCTAGAGCGCAGGTTTATCAGCGCTGGAGCCACGTAATCCAAAGTTTACCTAACATTCTGTTTTGTTGTCCAATGTGTGGGGGGTATTTAGGAAACAAAAAGATGCGATGGTAATGGTGTCAGATTAAGCAAGTCTCCCAAAAAAATTACTGAAAGGATTTTTACGCATTTTTATAATAGAAATATTCCACAAAAAAAATCAGAGAACAGGTTAAAAACAAAGCATGCAAACATTTAAAATGATTTTAAAGTGGCTGATTTGATTGCTATTTGTGTGATGATCTCGCAGCAGATCACTTTACGCATCTTTGATTTGACACTTCTCTCAAAACTACTGGTCTGGCAGGAGATTTGCTTGCAGGGGCAGAAGCACTTGGGGACACTCATGGACCAAACAGATTAGACACCTGCCGCTGGACACTTCTATAGGCTATATCAGACCACAAGGTGAAACCAAAACCTGTTGATACGCGCGCTCCCTCCCCAATATCAGCGAGGGATTAACGCAGCCAACGGTACATCTTATAAACAGCCTACTGATACAACACATCGGAGTTGGGGGGGTTCAAATTCAGCTCAAATTTGTAAATAGACACCCGCTGTACTTGACCTGCACGGATTATTCACAGGGGTATGATCAGCTACACAAGTGCTGCCAAATGCTGAATATAAAAAAAAAAATGTTGCAATAAAAGGAGGGCGGCTTTTTTCAGAAAAGGAGGTCGTTCATATCTGACAGAAAAGCCTGTTGAGATGAGATTATTCTCTAGAAAATAGCTTAGAAAACACCATATTACACAGGAAGGCTTCTAACTTATCGCACTGCCATAAATTGTTGTATTTATTTTTTGTTGGTTTTTGGAACGCTTACGCGCCACAAGAGTGTGAACACGCTCCTGTAAGTTTTAAAGAAGTGAGCGGCTCTTCCTCGGTGAGGTTCAGAGACTGCTCACGGCTATTTAATCATCATCATTTCCTAAATGAGCAGGCTTATTAAGGTCACACTATTTCAGATTTAGACTTCTGGCGAGTGCGCACTTTGGAGAGCCGGAGTCAACAGGATCCACATTACGCACCGTGTTTGGGCACAACGGCTCGTAATCCAACAATTTACTGCTGAAACGTGCGCAACATCCACCAACTTCTTCGTAAATCTTAGAAAGAAAGAAAAAAACCTCATGTCACGTCAGTCTCAAACCTTTGGCACCTCCAACGTTCATGTTAAGTGGAGTTATAAAACGCACAGTAAAGCGACCCAGATAAGGTGGCGCTCAGAGTGATTTACCACTATTTTTGTGCACTTCACGGACTGTTTTTCTATTTCTCCGTAGAGCTCCTCTGGGAGAGATTACACGTGTAATTTTCAGCTGTGAGATGTTTTAAGTGACCTCCCCCCAACATAAATAAAACATCTCTATGAAGAAGGAGGAAAAAAAACATTAAGGAAGAGTGATGAACTATGAAGTCCTAGGAGGCCATGGGGTTGGAGCAAGGAGAATTGAGGGATTCAGTTCCAGTGGCAAATAATAAAACGTCTATTTAGGTATTTAGCCATGGTTGGACTGTTATGTGTTCATTCCCCAGCAATAAAAAAAAAAGTTGATTTATCTTTTTTAAGGTTTCTACTTGAAGATAATTATACAATCAGCAGAAATTCTTCCAAATCTTTCAACTATGCAAACAAGTTGTCTAATTTTAATACACAAACACACACTGCTCTGAAAACACCTTGACTCCTTGAGAGGGGGCTGCTCATTGACCAATCTGCTCTGACAGCAGTGTGGCGTGAGCTTCTGACCCTGTGACTGCAAAGGGTCTGTGTTCAGTGGCCATGTAAGGGCTCACTGGCGCTCGCACTGGGGGGTTTGTGCCCTGCCCCGGAGGAGGCGACGTGCACACACACACACTCACACACACACACACACATGGAGGCATACATACGCAGGAGGGACTTATAGCCGGACTCCACGCCAAACCCCCTCAGGTATGCACAGCCACAG